ACTTCAGCTATTGTTTGTTGCAGCTTTCAGCTACAATTTTACCACATTTGGGAGCACGAGTTACTTTTAGCTCGTCGAATAAACAAAGTCAAGTACCCTCTCTGCATATTTCGCAGTTTCAACACTATGCAATTACATTAAGTTTAAACATGGGGCAGTTGTGTTAAATACAACCAAAATGCTTTCATAAATCCAGGAGATAGTACAAAAAGTTACTAAAGTACAATTTGGAACGTTAGTAATATTAACATTTTCAAATACATATTTTTTAAACTTAATTAACTGCTTAAAAGTATTGGATACATATATTAAATACATTTTTTTTTCAAGTATGGTTTGAAAACAAAATTTTACAAATGCATTCAAAGTGCATTTAAAAAAAAGTTTATATGAAGTTTAATTGTATAAATATATTTGATTGAAATTTCTTTTATATTTTGCAAAAATAATAGTACTTCATAAAGTGTAACAAAATATATTTTATAACAATGTACTTGAAGTATATTTAGATAAATCTATTTTTTACATTTTTGATGTAATACTCATAAGTACATTTACTTGGGAACATATTTTAATGCATTTCTTTAAAAGTAAATCTACTTAAAATATACTTAAGTACATTAAATTTTCACCAGGGAGTTCTGCTAGTTTTAGCTTGTTTGGCTAATTTTAGCAATCATTCAGCTACTGTTCTGATACTTTTAGTAGCGTTTCTGCTTCTTGACCCTTAGCTATAGTGATCGCTTGAAATAACTTGAAATCTGACCATTTATCACCTGACAAAGTTTGTTTTATGTGTTCTGGTTTAAAACCATGCTTTATTGGTTGGGAGTGATGTCATCAAGAATTCCTGTTTGATATTTAGAAGAGGGAATGCCCAAGTTCCACAATGACGCCAAACATCATGAGGGGATTTTTCAAAACTACGGCAAGCGGTATAGAGAAATGGTTAAATAAAATAAAAATGTGTGTGTATATACAGAATCTAAAAATAAAATAAAAAAATCCAGAAAATCACGTTTTTTTAAATAATTCATTTGCATTTTATTGTATGAAATAAATGTGATTCAATAGAAAAACAGAACTTAATATTTGGAACAGAAACCTTTTGTTTGAAGTTAGAGGTCAGAGGTCTCCTGTAGTTCTGGACCAGGTTTGGAGACCCTGCAGCAGGGACTTTGGCCCTCTCCTCCAGATCTTTCAGGTTTCAGGTTTGTCGCTGGGCAACATTGAGTTTCAGCTCAATGTTGGAAGATGACGTTTAAAAAAAAAGTCTTAGTTTAAACTTCATTTTTGCGTTTATGATTTACTCATTAATGATTATGGTTTTACACGTTTTATTCTGATCCACCGGCTGGGATGCTGAAATGCACCATAGGGCACCAAGGCGAAGCGACGCTTCCCCCCTTGATTAAACAGTTGGGGGTCCATCACATAAAGCATCCCTGCTTCTTGCAAGGTTGGTATTCATATTTATCATATAATGTCCATTTTTATCACTATGGCTATGAGCGTTCTTCCCCTCTGCCCTGAGAAAAAGAAGCCCAAGACAAAGTGAGACCGTCTCCCGGGACACGTACTCCGCCCATGAACCATATGTTTGTGTTAACGGATAGCACTGGTCAAGATGGCTGCTGCTGGCTCCAAGGACAGCTGAACTTCCTGAGACTGGTTTTCATGTGCACACCTCTATGTACTGGTATTTATGCAACCTCTCCTGGAATCTGGCTTTGCAACCATCAATACCAGTTAAAAATATTTTTCCGGTGAGTTTGGTTCTTTTGGGTAAATGATGTCATTGAGAGATTTTCTTCAACAAAAAGTAGAAGAAAAAAAAAAACACTTTCCATGTGGTCAAATGTTTTAATAGAAAGAAGGTGCAAATATGTTCATACATTCAGAAAGAAACGGTTAAACGCACAAAAAATCTCCAGTAGAAAACATAAAAAAGATCCATAAGGAAACAGAGCGCCACTCCCAAATATTCTGACCAGAACGCTCGTTCACATTTTTAAATCGAGGAAGTCAGCGAGGTTTCGGAGAGTTTCGTGTGGACATTCTCGTAGGTTTCTTTTGCAGATTCTGTAGGAGCTCCTGGTGCTTCTTGTATTTCTGAAAAAAAGGAACACATGATGAGTGACTGGACCCGTGTGTTGCTTCTCTCGTGTGGTTTGTGCGTGACAGAACACCTGCAGGTTTTCGCAGTGCGTTTGGCTCCTGCAGTGTTTGTCCTCGGTGATGTCCTCGTTCAGGTAGGAAACGGAGCACAGGTTACAGTAGAAACCCCACTTACGGCTCACGAACTCTTGACCTGAAGAGCAGCAGAACTAAACATCAACACCGACGTTGCTGAGGGATCTGAACAGTTAATGTTTAGTTGGAATGGATACAGTTTATTTTATTTTACTTGTCTGAGGCGGCGCAGACTGACCTGGCGAGTGGAGGGAACCGTTTTATCCACGGTGCAATAGCACAGCCAACGGGTGGCTAATGGTGGCCTTAGCCACCATAGATTAATCTTTGGCCACCCTAAGAGCCACCCCAACCCTTAGAGGAAATTACTTTTACGCACTATAAAAACCAGAAAGCTTAGTTCTCTTAAATGATCGGGATGGTCTGTTTACATCAGAGTTGCATTCGAGCCCAAAAAATCAGACCGTAGCCATTTTGTCTGAACCTAACCTGATAAATTAACTCTATTACAGGCCCGAACCTGAAGAAAACAAACAAACATTTTATTTTAATTAAGCTTTTACTGCTTTTGTAAGCAAATCAGTTTGACATGATAGTTTTAAAAATGTAACGAAATGAAAATGAGATTTTTTGTTTCAACAAATGGATAGTAACGTACAAAACGAATAGCATTAAAAAAAATCAACTGTAAAGATGAACAAAAATATTTTCAGAGCTAAATTAATTGGAAAATATAGAACAAGTCTTCTTTAATTGAACGCGCTGCTCGCTTCGGCTTTTGTAGCTTCAGATGCTGCAACTTCCTTCACCGCAGATGACAGAAGGGTGCGGAGCGGGACGCGCGCGGCCGATGATCCGGTTGTCCATTTGACGCTTAATGTAACTTTTTAAACCCGTTTCAACTGCCGGTCAGACCTGAGCGTGCACCTGACACACATCAGCAGGTTTCACTGTGCTGGCTGCGAGGGTGAGTTCTCCTGTTTTTAGCTTTTAATACTTCCCAGCTCCAATATGTCACTTGTTGTGGGTCACTTGCAAATCCTGGCAGGGCGGGGCCACATGCGCAATTAAAAACGCATCAAAAGCGCGAGCCCGACCCGGCCCACCCATCAAGCACATCATTTCTGGTTGGGAGCTCGGGCCAAAAATCTCAGCTCTAGTTTACATATATATCTGTTAGTGGCCATTTTGGGTTTTGCATGGCAACGCACGTTATACAAAATAACTTTGTTTACAAATGTTTTGAAAGGGACCTTTTTTACAGCTACATGCAGCCACATGAAAATGGAAGTTGGTGTGCTGCTTATTTTTTAACTTGTTGAGCTTACAACGTTAACACATACGCACATACGGGGCAGCCATCTTGGATTTTGACATGGTAACCCAATTTTTGAAAAGGAACCTTTCTTATGCTGAGATGTAGCCCTACACCAAAGTGGAAGTCAATACTTCACTTGTTTTTCAAGTTGTCGTGCTTACAACGTGCAACCTTACAACGTGGCATTTTCAATTTCCCCTTTTTGCTCCTCAACGAGTGACAAAATGGTATAAAGTGTGTTTCTCACCAAGGGGTGTTTGAGGGTTGAACGCCGGCAGTTTGAAGTCTGCAGCGATGCGAGGAGACTGAAGACGAGTCCTCTTTGCTTCAGGTTCACTGAGCTCTAGCTGCTGTTTGTTAAGAACTGAAAAACAAACGAGTGATAAAACATCCAAACCCTGACGAGAACGCAACATGCATCTTTACTTATTTATCAATTTTAAACAAAAAAATGGTCAAACAGGCAGGAAAGATTTTCAACAATATCTTACCTGCGGTACAAAACTTAGTTCTGACAAGAGGGATGAGCTAAAGGCTAGTCTGAGCAGGGCCGAGAACAAAGTGGACGTCTAAACTCCTTCATACAAACACTGTTTTATAAACCTTCATGTTGCTGTTAATTTTAGGGGTGCACGATATTATCGGCATGGTATCGGTATCGGCCGATATTAGCGTTAAAGTTAAATATCGGACATTCCATCAAAACTCACAGATATAAAAGGCGCTGTTGTTTATGATAACCCAGCGACGAGGACGCCTGCAGCGCCAGCACAACGTGATGACGTCACGTGCGCCTACCTGATCTGATCACGGCGGAGAGGAAGAAGTCAAAATGGCGGCGGTGTGGAAGTTTTTTTTGTTGTTGAGGACATCGGATTAAGATTTTTGTTCTACGCTGAGCCTCGCTACATCGTCCCCAGTCTGATATTTTTCCGACGTAGCCTTAACGAGTTACAAGCCGTCATTTCCGACGTCATTGAGAAGCTAACAGCCGATAGCACTTGGGTGAGTTTTACCACAAACATCTGGACGTCGTGTTAGCCTCGTTAGCATGATTAGTCTAACGGCACAATGGATGGATAAAAACTTTAAAGTTAAAAAGTCTGTCCTTCATGCACAGGAGTGCAGAGGATCCACACTGCAGCTATAGGAACCTGGAACAAACCTCGCAGGTGACTAATGCTAATAAACAACATTTAACACGTCTCATAAAAACATAAATAGTGGCAGCTAGCAGTAGCACTTCTGGTGTAGCATTTCCTGCAAGGAAATATAATATTTCTACCATTTGAAGAGCAAGATACATAAACAACGGCATAAAGGTTTATAAAATAATGTTTATATGAACCGCTACGAAATCTTTCAGCTGCAGTCCACGCTGGCCTAGGCACCATTCCGACTAACCATTAGCTCATCGATCCTGTCAAAATTTAAATTTACTTCTTCACACTGAGGAAATTAAAAGATCCATCTACGACGTTAATAGTTCCTAACCAACAGAACCTTCAAAAGATCTGAGCGATCTCTTGAACAACAGGCTGATGCGATCATCGAACAGAGAAGTTCTGTTGGTCTTACCAGGAGTCTGACGGGTCTTTCTGGGTCTGCCTCTCTTTCTCGATGTTGCAGCTTCTTTGTCTTTTTCAGTCTCCTGAAAGTCCTCTGGGATCTTTCGTTGCGGCTCACTTGAGTCTTCGGCGGTTTCTGTTGGAGTGACGTCTTTCAGAGCTTCGGGTGTCCTCCTGGTCTCGCCTTCTCCCCTTTCAGCCGAGTCCTGCTCAGTCCTCCCTCCTCTGGTAGTTCTAGTCGTGATGGTCTCTTTGTCTCCAGTTGTCTCCTGAGTGTTTTTGGCTCCTCTTGAACTTCTTCTAAGAGATATTTTTTTGGGGACAGATTCATCTCCAACAGAGATGATCTCATCAGTCTTTTTGTCTTTTCCTGTCTCTCTGTCCTCTGTTTGTGTCCTGTCTGTCTGATCGGGTTTCACAGTCGATCCTTCATCTTCGACCCGTTGTTGATTTGAAGCAGCACCGTCCTTTACTTTAACAGAATCATCTGTTTTAGTTTTACTACATGTTTTGACTTCATTAACACCCTCTGAGACCAGAAGACCTCCCTGGTCTTTCTCAGGTCCAGATGTATGTCTCTCTTTTTTGTTTCTCTGTTCGTCCTTGTTCTCATTGAGTGAATCAAGGATTTGGGCATTCACATCTTCATTCTCCTTCGTGCTTTTGCCATCCTCTTCTTCTTTGGGAGTTCCATCGTTAGTCTCCAGTTTCAAGGTTTGGTGGATTAACTCCAACGTCTGTTCTGGACCTGTCTCTGATAACTTTTCTATTATTGACTCATCACTTTCAGCAGCGCTGCTCTCTGCTGACCCCTTGTGGTCAGACGTTCTCACTGCACTCTCTATGTGTTCATCTTCCTGTCCTGGTGTCCTCTCTGCTGCTGCTGTTTGACCTGTTGATGAAGACTCATCTCTCAGAGTTTCAACAGACTCTGAAGAAGAGAAGGAAGGGGACGTTTCAATGCCCCCGACAGAAGATGAGGGTTTAGTTTGGGGTTTGTTGGGCTCAGAAGAGGAACTAGTAGACACGCTGCTGGTTGTGAGGGATGGGGAGGATTCTGTTGAGGACACATCGGAGCTTTGCCCCTCTCGTTTCTCTGTAGGGGTCTGTTTAGAAGTGGAGCTGTAGTCAGAACCTTTCTCCTTCATATCGTCACCGATTTCATTGACCAAATCTTCCAAGATCAAATCTGGTTCAACATCATGCTTCGAACAAAGAACATCTTCAGGATCTTCCAGAGCCTGGGTGGAGAAATAAAAGTTTCTGAATCAGTAAACAAGTTAAGTTACTA